TTTTTTTTTTTTTTTTTTTTTTTTTTTCACTTGTTTTGTGTTTGGTTGCTGAGAAAGTGTGTGAAAGTGATAGTTCTGAAATGGGTTTTGTTTAGTTTTGGATTTTCGTTTCTGCAAACTATTCAAAATTGTTCCTTTTTTTAGTTTCTGGGAAGAAGTCAAATTCTTACGAGTTTCGATGTTTTTTGTTTTGTTACTTTGTTCAAGGATGGAGTGGCAGTGCTAATTCTCATCATAGTCATGAACCCAAGCTTGAGGATTTCCTCGGCGATTCATCGCCGATGATGCGATATTCCGACAGCCAAACAGAGACACAAGATTCGTCTTTGACTCATATTTACGACCATGCCTATTTTGGGGACCAACAGGATTTCAAAACCATTGCGGCGTTTCAAGCTTTTTCCGGTAACTCTGGTTCAGAAGTAGATGACTCTGTTTCCATTACCAGAACCCAGATCGCCGCTGCTGAGACCCCCACTGGTGCTCTGTCTCTTTCTGTCGTGCAGAGCTCCGACACGGCGTCGGCTGTTGTCGCTGTCGATTCTGATTCCTCCAAGAAAATCGCCGATACGTTTGGCCAACGAACTTCGATTTATAGAGGAGTCACTAGGTTTGTTCATTCAAATATCTTTTAAATCGCTTGTTTTTGGGTTTTAATGGCGATTTTATTAAATGGGTGTTGGATTGTTGCAGACATAGATGGACGGGGAGATATGAAGCGCATCTATGGGACAATAGCTGTAGAAGAGAGGGTCAAGCTAGGAAAGGACGGCAAGGTTGGTTTGTGTTCTTTCAAAAAGATGTCTTTTTTATTAATGGGTTTTGCATAAAATTGAAAAGGATGGGTTTTTTATTAATGGGATTTGCTTGAAATTGAAAAATATGGGTTTTTTATTGATGGGTTTTGGTTAAAATTGAAAAAGTGAAGGGTTTTGCATGCATGAGGAAGAGTTTCAGAGGTTTCTTTAATGGCGGATTTGAAAGAGAAATGAATTATAATGTGTTGATTTGATCGGATGTGCCGCCATTTTGTTTCATTTGTTGAAAGTTGTTTTTTTTTCTGTCTCTTTTGAGTTAATTGATGCGACCCATATCCATATAGCGATTAAAGAAGAGAGGAGTCTGAATCTCTTCTGAGTTTTTGAACTTTTGCTTTTGCTTTTGCTTTCTTCATCATCCCAACTAGGGTTTGACCAAACCACCATTTCATTCCCTTTTTTTAATCCTTTGGAACCAACCCACTTGCCCTTAATTCCATCCGGTCGATGTCGATGTTGGTCAAGGACGGGGCTTAGGTAAGTAGAACTGAGGGTCGACGATTTGAGATCCCATATTGGTTGGATTGAGAAACAGAACCTTCCTTGTAAGGGTGTGAAAACCTCTCTATAATAGACGATGTTCTAAAACCTTGATGAGAAGCTTGGAAGGGAAAGCTCAAAAAGGACAATATTTACTAGCGTGGATTTGGGCTGTTACAATTGGTAACAGAGCCAAACACGGAACGTTATGTTAGCTAGGACGCTGGGCTTCCAAAGGGGTGGATTGTGAGATCTCATATTGGTTGGTTGGTGAGGGGAAATAAATATTTCTTATAAGCATGTGAAAACCTCTCTCTAGTAGACGCGTTTTAGAATCATAAGGCTGATGATGTTACGTAATGGGCTAAAGCAAACAATATCTACTAGCGATGGGTTTCGGCTGGGTTATGGCTTGCAACTCCCTAGGTTTTGTTTGGTTTGGGAATCCATGAGTGGACTCGAATGGTGTTTAGACTATGTTAGGAAGAATTTGATCGAGGGTATTGGAATTGGGGTTTTAGAAACTACTCGGGTTTAGATGGCAATGTCTTAGTCGACTCGACCCTTCACTTGTAGCCTTCTTCGATGTCCACTATTAACATGAGTAGAGGCTTGACCTCTTTTTGACTACGCTAAAATTTGATCTTTTTTTCGATGTTCGTTTGCCGATTTACTGAGCTGAGATTGTCTGTTTATTGCACGAACGCTCGGTGCCGTTTTTCGTGCTGGCATTCACATTCCAACACTTTGTTCTTCAGTTTACTTAGGTATGGAATTTCTTCCCCTTTTTACATTGTTTTAGAAATTACTTTATGTTATGGAACATGTAACACATAGATATATATGTCTCTGTGTGTATGTATAGGTGGATATGATAAGGAGGACAAAGCAGCTAGGGCTTATGATTTGGCAGCTTTGAAGTACTGGGGTCCCACTGCTACCACCAATTTTCCTGTAATATTATTTATATTTATAATATGGTAATTATTTGATAGTTCTTGCTTCGCATATCGATGATGTCGTTTCGTTTCGTAGGTTTCGAATTACGCCAAAGAATTGGACGAGATGAAACATGTCACGAAGCAAGAGTTTATCGCTTCTTTGCGAAGGTAACTTTCGGGGTATTGTGTTTCTTTTCTCTTGTTTTTAGGCCTTGTCGAGTTTCTCCTTAAAATTTTTCATTTGGACTTCAGAAAGAGCAGTGGTTTCTCGAGGGGTGCGTCGATTTATAGAGGTGTAACTAGGCATCATCAGCAGGGTCGATGGCAGGCGAGAATTGGCCGTGTTGCTGGGAACAAGGACCTGTATCTCGGGACGTTTGGTAGGTTTATCTCGGGCCATGTTGCTGCATCCAATGTTGATGTTTAATACTAACTTGGTTCTTGTGTTGTAGCTACGGAAGAGGAAGCAGCTGAGGCTTACGACATAGCAGCGATCAAGTTCAGGGGTTTGAACGCTGTGACGAACTTCGAGATGAGTCGTTACGACGTGGAAGCTATTGCGAAAAGTGCGTTGCCAATCGGGGGAGCAGCGAAGAGGCTGAAGCTTTGCCTGGAAACCGAGCAGAAGCCAATTCTGAATCATGATCAAGCCATCCAGTGCAGCAATGGAAACAACAATATGAACTTAGGCACTGCCATCCAAGCTGTGCCTGTGCCATCGATCCCGTGCGGAATTCCATACGATACCGCAGCTATGCTGTATCACCATAATTACTATCATCTTCAGCCTAACGCGATCGGTTCCTCGGAGTCGACCAGCCCATCCATTGCAGCTCCGGTGAGTTTGGGACCTCAAGCAGCCGAGTTTTTTGTTTGGCCTCACCAGTCGTATTAGATTTTCCTTGTTTAGTGATAGATTGATGCAAATGCATGCAGCTAAGCTAACATTAGGACCCGACTATTTTGTCGCCGCTGTTCGGGTGACTATCATGTAGTTCAACTCTTAACCCCTCTTGAGTAGGAAGAAAGCAAAGAAAGAGGTGTGGAGGGTTTTTTTTGGTATGGAAACTAAACTGGAAGTTGAATTTTGTAAAGCTTAGTGCTCACTTTGAATATGGTTAGCCATGGCTCACCTTGTCCAAGCCCAAACTGTGGCCAAGTTGTGGCCATAGGGTTGGATTTACTTGATGGTAAAGTTGGCAATTGAGACAAGTGATTCAAGAGTCCGTCAGAGTTGGATTGGGTTGGACTGGATTAAAAATCTATTTCTTCTGTTGTCTCATTCATATCTGAAATTAGGGGTTACGAGAGTATGTTAAGAGTTAGATTGGATTAAAAATTTGTCTTCGAATTAAAAATTTGTTTATTCAGTTGTCTCATTCACATATGAAATTAGGGTTACGAGAGCATGTTAAGAGTTGGATTGAGTTGGACAGGATTAAATATCTGTTTCTTCAATTGTCTCATTCATATATGAACTTAGGGTTACGAGAGTATGTTGAGAGTTCGATTGGGCTCGACTAAATTAAAATTTTGTTTCTTCAGTTGTCTCATTTATGTGTGAAATTAGGGTTACGAGAGTATGTTGAGAGTTCAATTGGGCTGGATTAAAAATTATCTCTTCAGTTGTCTCATTCATATATGAAATATCTATCTTTTCGATTGTCCCGTTCATGTATGAAATCAGTGTCCCCATGTTCTTTCACCTTACTTCACGTTGTTACATTCATTACCATTTCGCGTTCTCACCCATGCTACACAAACCTTTTCTTTCACTGTCGTCTCCTCTAAAACATTACGTCTCCATTCTCTCCTATTTTTCTATGTTTTTTTTTTCAATCTCTCATTGCACGTTTATTGATCTAAATTTCTATCCTTTGTTTTTTGTTACAATTTTGCGGCAGAAGTATTACGAGTAAGTTGACAACAAATGTAAGAAGTTGGACCTGTCGAAAGGACATAAAGTGTGAGTAGCTGGAGCGGATTCAGAAGAAGTGGGAACCATAATTATTTTATGTTTCAAATTTATTATATAAGATACTCTCACTCACATGTTTGGATATGAACGATTTTGATAAAAATCATTTGTAACAATTAAAGAGAGGAGAGAGTAATATGTCGTGAACATGAAAAAGGATATGAACGACTGCACTAATGTTAAACTAAAACTAAATTATAAAAAATATACTTAAACTCGTTAAAAAATAAACCTAAAATTTTAAATATTTAATTATAATTTCATTTCATAAATTTTAAAATTTGTGTGTATTTATTCCAATATCAAAATTTTATTTATTTATTTATTTTGTCTATTTGGTCTAATTTTTAAATTTTTTTAACAATTCTATTTACTTCAATTTTATATTTAATATGTTTAATTTCGTATATAAATAAAGTAAAAAATTTTAAAAATTATTTGCTGGATGTATGAATTAATTAATTAATTATTTTTTTATAGAAATTTAAAATAAAAAACTTTTTTTTGGGTCAATTTAATCGAAAATCAGAAAAAAGAATTAAAAAAATAAAAATAAATATCCAATTTAGCGTCTCGGGGAACCATATTTGAATGTTTCAGAAGCAGCTGCGAAGTTCGCGAAGTTCAGAGAGATTTCAATGGCGACGGGCCCTTTTTCTTCTGCATCCATATTCAATCAGAGCAGCTCCAGGCTCCCTGATGATACCGTTTTCTACGCCATATTTCCCGACGCCTCTCTGAGCTCCGGCGGCAATGCTACCGAGGTAGCATCCATCCTCCAATCCCTTCACCTTCAAATCATAAACTCCATCTCTTCATTCACCTCCAACTACATATGGCAGCACGAAGCCTTTGCTCTCTCACCTTCTTCCATCCTCAAATCCCCCTGCGTTTGTTCCACCCACCTTCCACACCTTCACGGGAAGCTTCGCTTCGGAGACAACCTTGAAGACGAATGGTTCACTGTGTTTCTTCTTTTTCACATTTCCAAATGTTTTACTTCTCTTTCAATCCGAGTTTGGGACACGGACGGCGAATTTCTGCTTATCGAGGCAGCATTCCATATCCCTAGATGGATTAACCCTGAGAATAGTCTCAATCGTGTCTTCATCCGCAATGGTAGCCTCCATATTGTACCAAAACACCGGTTACCGGATCCTAATTTGTTTGATTCGCTTAAGTTCTTGGTGGACTTTGATCAGGAATCTAGGGCGTCTGAGTCGGTTCAGCTGGCTGTGAAGAAAAAGATTTCGGATTATCCCCGGCGAGCCGAGATGAACATGCACAAAGCTAGGGTTAGGGTTCCTGTATCAGTTGCTCAGGTGTTGAAGCATGAACCCTGCTTGATTTCGCTGGCAGTTGAGGGGTTTTACGATCGTGACATAGACACCATGAAGTTCGCCGCAAAAATGGAGAAGTTTTTGGGAAGAGGAAGAGAAGAAGAATTGGTATGCGTGTCCGTTATGATGTCGAAGGCAATGTTTGCACAGTTGATGCAGCAGAATTTTCAGGCGCCCAAATGTTATCCGATGCCCAATAGGACCAATGCTTCAATACACACGGAAGCTGAATTGGGAATGAAGATAGCATGCGGATTTGAGATGATATATCAACTAAGAAGACAAGAGGGGTCTGAAGGGAAAAGCCAGACATGGGAGGCGTTTAAGGAGAGTTTAGAAAGTAGCGGATACTTCCAAGGTTTACTTCCGGGTTCAAAGGAGCATGGGAGGTTGATGAAGAATGCGGAGGAATATTACAAGAATAGTGAACTCTTTTCAAGAACTAGGTACTTATACTTTTCTCACTGTTGAAATTTCCCATATAGGGCTATTTGAAGCTTTATTATATAGATTCAGAAGACTAACCCTGTTAACTTAGTTCGTCTGTAGTACAACCCTTGTGTTATGTCATTTGAAATTGGAATTTTGAACTCCTAGCATACATGATTCCATATTAAATTGGGATTGAATAACAGTCCAACAATGACTGCATTTGATTTATAATTGTAGTTCTTTAGATTAATCACATGAATCCCAGAACTTGACGATTGTTTCTATCTTTTTCTAGTAAAGTTTTCCTGAGTTGTTTGTTTTTATAGTACACACTGAGAAGTTCCTATATGTTGCAGTAACATGATGAGTGCTCCAGTAAGACGCATAGATGAGATTCTTGCTTCTCCTTATTCAGTGGAAGATTTCAAGGGTCCGGACGTCCCTCCTTCTGATGATGATTCTTGGCTTTACAATGGGGATGATGAATTGAATGCAGCCCTCTTAGAGAGACAGAAGGAAATGGAAATTTCTAATTCTGAATTTAACGAGAAGCAGAAATCTAAAAAGGAACAAGTTGATCCATCATCCAGCTGTAGTATGGACGAGCCTGATCTAGGTGATATATCAAAATCCATGCAGAAATTCGTCAAAAAATTATCAAGCTTTCAGGGAGTAGAGGTGTCCGATAACAGGTAAGCTAAATATGAATGAATCAAACTAATAGTTTTCACATAATAACTGCAAAGCCACTGGTTGTGGTTGTTCTTTTTATTTTGTGATTTTCCTTTCATAACATCTCGCTCAATGGCACAAGTTTAATTCTATATTTGGGAATGCTACAAATTTGATAATCTCATATCCATATGTTGATCTATTAAAATATAATACAACCCTTTATGTTTAAAGGGAGCCAGAAGATGTGAACATTGATGTAGATCGCTTTATTAAAGAGATGGAATCAGTGATGAGCCATCACACATCCATGGAGACTTCTACTGATGTTCAAAATGAAGATGAATCCTCTTCTGATTTGGATTTTGGTAAATGAAATTCTACCTTTCACAAACATTATTAAGTTGTGGCCGGGTTTATTATCTTTCAGTTCATAAGTCAAAATGCTATAACCTGGAAGAACCCTCCATGCTTTTGTTTGATTTTATTTTAATTTATTTCCTAGGTAGGGTTTTCATGAAGTTTATGATTCGGACTATTTTAAAATATTTCAATATCCCTAACTGGATTGTAAGTTTTTCTACCATGCCTTGCAGTCTTGCTGCTGAGGAATTCCTTAACCCTGTTTTTCATGCCGAGCAGAATTTTTGATGTCTTCAGTCAAATTATTTCTGATTAGAAAAGAGGTTCTGATGGATTCCTCAAATCATTAAGTTGCAATTGTTGTTTGCTTTTCAGATGAATCTCAAGATGATGAGAGTGATGGTGCCACAGATACTAATAATGTAGATGGAGAGAATATGTTCATGGAATCTTATACAGATGCTTTGGGTGAAGAATTGAAGAGTAGTACTCTCCAGAAAAGTTTTTATCGTGCTAGTGGAGAAGCTTCCCAGAAAGATGAGGTACTTTACTTTCTTCTTTGTGCATGATGCTGCAAATTCCTTGTTTTTTCTGACCTCAACCCCATTCATCTGGGACTCTTCTTAACTCTGACCTTTCTAAGAATGGCCCTATGAATAGCTATTACTTCTTCTTTTTAGATTTTTGTTTCACCCTCTCAATTGATAACAACGAAACTGTTTTCTGAGAAGAGCTTGTTTTTCTTTTGTCATGACACAATCGTATGTTGGGGCTGTATGATCAACGATATGCTGTTGGGTGGCAAATGTCTTTTATTTACATTTCGATTATAATTTGTGATGTCTTGTTTTATTATTTGTGTACGTCTCATTTTCGTCTTAAAAAAAATTGTAGGGAACATCACATACCACTGACCATATGGAGGAGGATTTCACCCCTGTTGATGTGGACGTGAACCTTGTAAAGAGCTTTCTTGATTCCTTTTCATCACAAGAAGGACTGCCTGGTCCTGCATCTAACCTTCTTGGACTCATGGGTATAAAGCTTCCGAGAGATGGTGACAAAGGCAAATGAACCGCTAATTTTGTCTTTATATAAATTACTGAACAAACCGCAGGGTTGGTGATCTTTGTAAACTCTACAACTGAACTTTCCCTTCCACCACATTTTAGCCTGCTTAGAGTTTTTAGATTATTGTTTAAAACATAGATCAAAATATGAATCACTTGGCGTTGAGATTTGAAAATGGTGTTTGTATGTTTTATCCTTCTTTTAACGATCAATGGAAATTAGCATCGCAGAAGGAACAAAATCAGAGCCTTGCCTCTAACATTAGTTGGAAATAGAGGAGCCTCTAATTGTGTGAAGAACCAATCGCCATTTGCAGGTATATCTTCTGCAATTCTTATAGTGTGAACCAGTCTTGATTTACCAGTCTCTAGAATTTGAGTTTGAGTGGTGCTGTTTCTTAAAAATTTGATAACCGATTTACCAAGATTTCAAATTGAAATAATAAAACTTCTCCCATCATTCACAACTGATATGTAGCACAGAATTAAAGGCATATGTTTTTTCCAAAATAGCTCACAAATGTCTACGAAAATCTCACTTCTGCCAAATAACACAGACCAAAAAAATCTGAAAAGTAGGACTAAACAGCATTCCAAGATTCCAACACAAAGAAATTAAGGTAGGTTCATACATAATTTACAGAGGAGTTCCTGTTCTCAAAGCATGATACTTTTTTTGCATTACAGGTGCCATCCCAGAGAAGATTGATTGCTTTTGCTTCTTCTGTTTGACGCCGAATATGAATGACCGTAGAGGAATTCTGTTTCGGCTCTCTGAGTGTCTCAGCTGTGGAGTTTCCTGTGCCTTTGACCCAGAAAGTTTGAACTCCTCGTTCAACTTTGACAGGTTGGTCTCTACCTTATGTTGAAGAGTTGCTATGTGATCTAAAGCTGCTTGCAGTTCATCAGCAACTTTATTATTCTCTTGTTTCATATTCAAAACCTCCCCTTGAAACTTTGCAGCTTGATAGCTTGTGAATGAGAAATCGTCTTCCTCGGCACTCGCCTTCAATCCAGCTGTTATTTCTTCTTGGATGTTGCACAGTGATGAAAATCTTGTCTGCAGCTCCTCCTTCAATGCTGCACTTTTATCTGACCAGACGGTAAGTTCAGTCTGTATCTCCCTCAGGTGTTTGTACAATGGCCGTGCTTCTGATTTCAAGGAGTACTTTCCAATGCCACTCTCATCCATCTTCTTTCCTTTTTCATGAAGTTTTGCTACTTCCAATTTTAGATCCTGTATCCTAGTTTCAAATTTCTGTATTTGATGGAAAGAAGTGCTGAAGTTCAACCAGAAATCTAAGTTCTCTTCCAAAAGTTCGTCAATCTTCATCCGGAGTCTTTCTTCAATCTCTGATGTAGTGGCTGGTTCTTGAACTAGAAGTTTGCTGAAGTCTAATCCTGAATCATGGGAGATTTCACGTGTCAGTACTTTGGACTGAGCTGGGTCGCCCCCTGTTATCATGGGTTTGACATTTTGATCATCCGATGTGCTTGAGGTTTTCTGGTTGTCTGAAGTACTAAAATCTAACGATTGTGTGCTTAGATCCATTGATTCCTTGCTTTCATAGAAACATTTCTGCAGAAGATTCAATTTATGGTGCAAGGATCTGATTTCTTGATCCTTCAATGCATTTGAAGTTTTTAACTCATGTAGCTGCTTTGATGTTTGAAGATGGTGATCACGATGTTTTTCATCCATTTCACTGAGCTTCTTCTTGGCATCCTTGAAATTTCGAAGAGTTGTAGTGTACTCTGTTAAGAGGGCTTTTTCTTTGCCTTCTATTCCACTCATGAACAACTGCTGCCAATTTGGCTCATCTACTTTATCCACAACTTTCTCTTCTTGTTCTGCGCGAACTGCCTCTGAAAAAGTCTTCTTCTCTTCTTTGTTTTGCTCTTTCATCGCATCCTCTGTTTTCTCTGAAGGGTGTCCTAGATTTTCCTGTTTGTGGATTTCTTCAACTTGACTTGTCAGAGTACCATTTCCATCACCTTCTGAATACTTGGCCTTGGTTTGAACCACTTCTACTGGATTTCCAGCAGAACCATCACTGTCATTTTTCTGGGGATTATCCTCAGTATACACTGACAAGGCTAGAACGGTCCCATTCTGGCTCTTGGTAGTGTTTTCTGGATAAGATTTCTCGCAACTACCTTCTGAACTCTGTGAAGTATCCTGGGTTTGAACAATTTCTACTTGACCTCTAGAAGTGACATTCACATCAGCTTCCTCACAACCACGCTCTGAATACTGTAAGTTAGCCTCGGTCTGAGCAACCATTTCAGGATGTCTAGCAGAACCATAAGCATCATTGTTATCGGGTTTGCCTTCAGTACTTAGTGACAAGGTTTGAACAATTACCTCTCGACTTTTGGAAGCAGCATCTGCATCGGATTGCTCGTTACTACCTTTTGAACTCTGTGATTTATCCCTAGTATCAGCAACTTCTACTAGACTTCTAGAAGTGGCATCAACATCAAGTTTCTTAGAACTGCTTTCTAAATTTGGAGGATCCACCTGGGTTGGATCATCGTTCTCTTGATTTATGAGCTTACCACTTGCATCAGCTTTCTCAGATTTAACTTCGAAACTCTGTGATTCCTCTTCTTTAGGGGTTTGCATATTTGATGATTTCATTTCAATGTCTGGTTCTTTGTTTTGCCTCACATCCGTTGCCTGACATGCTTCATCTGATCCCATTTGGTTTGGATCATCAGAACCCTCATGAGCTTTCAACTTTTCGTCCGGCCGGTTGAGCTCTGTATGTGCTCCATTTGCATCTTGGTTTACACCAGGAACTTCCTCTAGTTGTTTGAGCTCTATACGTGCTCCACTTGTACCTTGCGTTACACCATGAAGTTCGTCTGGCTGTTTGAGTTCTGTATCTGCTCCAATTGCATCTTGCTTTACACCAGGGAGTTCCTCTGGCTGTTTGAGTTCTGTATGTGCTCCAAGTGCACCTTGCTTTACACCAGGGAGTTCTTCTGGCTGTTTGAGTTCTGTATGTGCTCCAAGTGCACCTTGCTTTACACCAGGGAGTTCCTCTGGCTGCTTGAGTTCTGTATTTGCTCCAATTACACCTTGCTTGACACTAGGGAGTTCCTCTGGCTGTTCGAGCTGCACCGTGCTTATTGAAGATTTTGGCTCGAGCTCCTCATCTTGCTGTATGGTAGGCAATTTAACAGAAAGATGATCTAGATTACAATGTACCTCAATAATTTGAGATTGGAAATTGCTTTTCTCATTCTCAATCTTTTCGTTCAGATTCTGAATCCCACCCAGTTTTCCCTCTATTTCTTTTAGCTTCTGTTGCAAATTGTTCTTTCCATCAATTATTGATGCCTTGTCACCTTCCAAGATTTGTATCTGTGTTTGGAGTTCATCGGTTTCTGATCTTAACTCCTTGATGAGAGCGGTCTGCGAAGACAACGCGATTTCTAAGCTGATCACCTTGTCTACAAGCTCATCAATCTTCTCTGCCATTTCTGTTATGGTAAGACATGTACTGGCCTCCAACTCCTTCTTGATTTGTTGGCGTAATTCCTCTGCTCTCTTTTTCTCTTCTGCTGCACTGTCAACTTCTTTATTCAATTGGTCAGGTACTTCTCTTTGCCGTGCAGGTTCGTTCTTCGCAAGCGACTTATCCTGGCTCGATTCTTCACCTTGAAGCCCACCTTTGAGAGAATCCAATCTCTCTCTCGCTTCTCTAACTCTTGTAGACTCTATTCTTGCTTCCTCAGCTGATCTCTCCTGTTTCTCCTGCAGCTGAGCCAATGATTCTTGGCAGGACTTTAAAGCCGCATTCGCCATCAAAGTACGGGCCTCGTTGTCCTCAATCAGCATTCCTTCACCATACTCATCTTGTAAGTTGAAAACTCTGTCTTGCATCTCTTTGATCTGATTCTCAATCTCCCAATACCTTGCAAGCGAGCCTTCATAAGAGCTTTTCACGAATTCCTTCTCAGTTTGCAGTGTCAAAATCTGTTTCTGCAGTTTGTCAATCTCATTGAGTGCCTCTTGTTTGCTCAAACCAGATTTGGCAACTGACGAAGCTGCAGTTCCCTGTTTCGCATTCTTTTTGGACTTCAACTTCTTGGTCGCTGTTGTTATGACAGTCTTCATATCAACCGGATCCTTGGGGACTTGTGGGATGTTTCCTCTGGACATAGCAGGTTGCTTCTTAGGGAACTTAGGCATGGCTTCTTCATCTTCCTCATCCATTGAAAACTGAACTTGCTCCGGAAAAACCGAAGCGATCGTGTTGTTTGCGTTCTGCAGCTCAGTCGAAATGTGATCGTAGCGTTCAGCCAATGCTCTATAAGCTCTGTAAGATTCCTCCACAAAGTTTATCAGCTCTGGTCTCTTTTTATAATACATTTCAGCTCTCCTCGCAAATGAATCTCCATCTTCTTCTATCAGCTTCAGAGCATATTGGACCTTTTCCTCCATATCTGCAATTTCCAGAAACTCTCATTCCTCCATGATTTCTATTACCCAAACTAGAATCGATCTGGGTATTGATCTTGTGATCTAATTTAGCAAGGTTCCAGAACAAAGATCTTAGAAACACCCCCACCTCGATCTTACCCAAGAGAAGAAAACCATACAATTCATTATGGAAATGAAATCACAGAGAAAAACAAGAAACCCCAGATGAACATTCAAGTTTCCAACCCAAAAACATAAGCTTCCCCTCATGGATCTCCGATCCATGGACGCATAAACACATATTCTGATTGATGTTTAAGAAAGAAAAGGTAAAAGAGAAGGGAGTGGGATGAACCTATAAGATTTTGCTCCATCCATTTTGACTGCTTGGTTCTGATGTGGCTTGCCCACCACCATGAATAAGCATTGCTTGCAGCTCTCTGCAACATTTTTGATGGTTTCTGAGGGATTTTCCTATCCTAAGTTGGCTTCTCTCTCTAATCTTCAAACCTCCCCCTAGTGTTTACTGTTGTGTTGTGTTCTTTGGGTTTGATTGTCATTCTCTCTCTAGGGGAAGAGAGAAGACATGGAATTGGCTGGAAACCCTTTGATGGAGCAGAAAACAATGGAAGAACAGAGACCCCTGTGGAGAAAGATGGGAGAGAATCAGAAAGAGAGAGAGAGAGAGAGAGAGAGACGAAGTTGAATGAAAATGGAATGGAATGTAGAAAGCAATCGTCTCTCTTGCTAAATATGAGATCATGGAGGAGAGGAAACTTCGCTACAATAACGTGTTTTTTAAAAAACAATAATTAAAACAAAATCAATTTAAGATCTGTCCTCTCTGTCCCAAATTATTCTCACCTATTCTTCAAAGGAAATAATTTTGAGCCGAGGTTCTTTATTTATTTATATTTATTTCGTTTTAATTCAATCTTTATATATATATATATATATATATATATATATATATATATTTTTTGGTAAATGTTAGGTAGGAGGATATCTAATTTTCAACCTCAAAAAAGTAATACCTATCTCTTTATTGTTCGTATGGAGAATATTTATAGTTTTTGTTTAAATCTCCGAGTATATTGTTGGCACTATTTAAAAATCGACAATTACATCTCATAAATATTTTTTTATTACTTATTTGAGATATATAATACGTTTTCTTTGAACGTGATTATGTTAGGGATATTGGTGGGTTTTATTAAGTGGGTTATGATACTTTTATAATGATTGGTTTAAGTTGTTTGAGTCATTTATTAGAATATTTATTTTTAATAAAAATTAGATGTTAGTTATTTTTAAATATTTAATTAATATTTGTAATTCAATTTTAATATATATTTTGAAATTTTAAATTCCAGTTGGCTGTTAACTGATTGGTTTGTATATTTTAAAATTAAAAATTTTGTTTTAGATTTATTTTTTAGAAAAAAACATCAACTAATTTATACTTTAATTTTTTTTTTAAATATTAGGAATTGGTTTAGAATTATAGGAATGACCAAAAAAATAAATCATTAGTACTGAAGTAGTTGTTTGGCTATAATTCTTTTTAATATTTTTTAATATCTGTCCAAACAAAAAATACACACGTGGCACTTTAACAATATAGCCACTTGCCAGCGTGGAATTTGCAGGACTCGCCTTTTTCTCTTGCCTTTTGAATTATTAACCCATTTTTTTAAAATTTAAATTATTTGTTTTTATGGACGTTGAATTCCAAGTAAAACCCTCTGGAAAGAAATAATAATAATAATAATAATTAAAAGAAAAAAAAGCTGTTAAAATGACACGGCGGTGTCGATTTTTCTGTCACCGACCTCTCAAAAGCTAAAAACACGTCTTTGATTTATTTAATATTATTTTTAAATTACTTGTTCTTTAAGAAAACAAACGTTCCTATTGTTTCTAAGAAGCTCCTTTGTCGGTTTCTGTTACGGGCGCCTCATCCACATGAGGTGCCCAAATCAAATCATATTTACAGGTATTTCCGTTATTTTTTTTTTGGATGTTCATTCGTCTAATGGGTGTTATTATTTTGTATATTTCTGAATGATACAAAATTTTTAATTTTTTTTAATATCTTAAATCATCGCCATTTTCTCTATATTAATTGCAATTTTAGCTTCGGGTATCGTTCTATATGATGTTCTCCTGTCTACTTTTAGTCTTTTTAAAGTCAGAAAACGAGTCGATAGAAAGTAATCTAAGCTGAGGGGAAGGAGTGTTTCATTTACTTCTCACACGTGCATACTAAATTATAATGTTGATATAGTTGTATCCTTAAACTTTAATTTAAACATTGAATACCTCATCAAAATTATAAAATTATTGTAATTGCTCTATTATTATATCTATTTTAATGGACGGTTGAAAATAGATATTATCATTTTTTTTTAAATTATAAAAGTTGTTTGCACGAGATTTTTCAAAGAAAATTTGTTCGTGGAGTTGAATTAAATGGTTTATACAAGTTTGATACGATATTGATTCTCTTTTGGAAGTGCAAGAGTGTTCTTGATGTTCAAACAACTTTGATCATGAAGAAACGTTCGATCCTCAAATGATTAGAATCTCACGAATTCTCTCCAAGATCTTAATGTATAAACTACCATGGATGTGTGGGCACTTTGAGCTTAGATGGACCTTGGGCCTGGTTCTTATTGGAGTCGAATCATTTAACGAGTCTATTTCCTTGAGTTTAATTGAACACACGTCTAAATATCATGACCATAACAGTTTTTTCGATCAAAACAAACATGATCAAGATATAGGTTAGGTCGTTTTTTTCTTCAATTCTACTTTGGAAAATATGTCAGAAATATTGTGAAAATTAGCGGTTGACAATTATTTCTCATTCAGATACTATAATTAAATTTGTGAAAGTATTAAAAAATATGTGAATATTTTATTTGCGTTGAAAATTAAAAATTATATTTCATGTGGGTATATATATATGTTTAAAAATTTGTTAACTAATGAATAATGTCGGTCAGCAGTTGATATGTAAGTACTTTAACGAGTATCTACGTAATTTAATCAATCTTCATACCCACTAGATTGAGATGCTTAATTCAAAGTTTGTAGCTATTAACTAAGATACTTACTAAAATATTGTTGAAGTTCATATCTCGATTTTGTGTTGTCGGATCATAAAAATTTCATAATTCGAATATGATAACTATCAACCGAGTCTCAAGAACTTATATAGAAGTGCATATTTCAGTTCGTGAATATACGATCGAGTTCAAGATGAAAAACGTTTCTTCATTACAGATCCTTCCATATTAAAAAAATATTACAAATTTAATATCATTTCCCTAAATTTTTACCCTCTATTATTTTTAATAATGTATAAATATAATCTACTAAAACAAAATACTATCAACCATATTATTTTCATTTGTTTCTAAATTTTTTAAGTGATATAATAAATGTATTTTTGAACTTTTTTATAAAAAGTTAAAAAGGTATTATTAATATATATATATATATATATATATATATATATATATATATTTGATAAAACTCAAATATATTTTTAACGTTCAAAAAAAAAAAAAAAATATATATATATATATATATATTTGAAACAAAATATTAATTATTTTTGGTTGGGAATGTTTTTTTTTTTAATTTATTATTATTATTATTATTATTATTATTATTATTTTGTAAAAGTTAAGAGTAGTCTGAGTTTGTGGTTAAAACCGTGTTCTTAAATATGTGTTTATATTTACTATTATTTATTTATTTATTTTTAAGATTTTATTAATATAAAATGAAATTATTAATTTAGTATATATATATATATATAAATAGAATTAGCAGCCAAAAATCCATTTTGAAAAGTGGGTCCCATTCTTTTTCTTTTCCTTTCTTTTCTTCCCACCTACGCATGAACGTCTAAAAGAACAGAAGAAACAGAGACGGCGCCTCGATTGGAAGCTCTACAGCTTTGGGCATCAACAAAATTTGATTCCATTTCTGTAGGTAACATCTTAAGCGTTCAATCCTAAATTTCCTGTTCTGCCAATCCGAACTTTGGTGTTCTTCTCTTGTTCTTTCTTTTTGTGTTTGTTTTCTCTTGTCCTCGTTATCATCGGGAGTTTTTAGATGTTCATCGATTACTCAATTTGAGATCTATAGCAGGTTATAATCTGTATGTTTGGATTCTGCTCAAACGCTTGAAATTATGTTTCCTTTGTTCTACCGTTTGACTTATTTATTTATTCTTTTCTTCAGAAGATACTGTTCGTAGAATTCTAATCCGCGATTGTGTCTTGATCTGAATGTTAGGGTTTGGAGAAAAAAATGTTGTGGTTTTTGGTTGAGTTATTGCTTTTGTTTATTAATTCACTTTGTCCTTTTTTATTATCGTGATGCTTAAATCGAGGATACATTAAGTTTCGTACTTTGGTTGGCGCTTTGTACGGGCTATTTTTTTTTTTTTTGTCTTTTTGGTAAGAAACCGAGTTTTCATTGAGGAATGCTATAAAAAAGCCCGAACATGAATTTCAATCCGAAGGAATTAACTGAAGCTGAGAATTACAAAATGACGATTTTTCCCCAAAAGACGCATTAAACTTCATTGTGTCTCCATCCTTCTGAAAATTATAGTATTCCTCTGAAGCCACTCTCCACGAGAACAATTCTGCCACAAGGCTCTTCCTTGATCACGAGATGGAAAGTTTATCATAATGTCCTCCAACATAGAGCAACAGGTTATAAACAAACTTAAAAATCTATTACGTGCCACATCAATCCCAAACACCTTAAAAATCTAACTCCTCAGGGTATAAGCAAACTGCAATCTCAAAAAAGATGATTGAGATCCTCCTCTTGTCGACGACAAATGACACGTCACTGCAGACGCAAAACTAAGGAAGAAAATTGCTAGTTGCAAACCTGGGTGTTTACTCTACCATGTAAGACTTGCTAAGCAAATAACCTCACTTTTTTTAGGGACTTTGACCTTCCAAAGAGAGAAAAAAAAAAAAAAAAAAACTGAGGCCTCTGACGGGGAGAAAGGAAACAAAGAATGAGGAAAAAGATTGACATGGGAATCCTTCTGATTGATTTGGAACCCAAACCTGAACATCCCTCCCACTAAAAAAAAACCCTATGATTGAAAATGCTGGAAAGAAGTCCCACTACCTCCAAAGACTCACGATCACTCAAAGGACGACAAAATTGAGGTCACAAATATGACCTCTTTTACCCTGATGAGTTGGCAACTTGGCAGGACCACGCAATGTGAAATGTTTTTCTATTTTCTCGTTTTGCTGAAAATATTTAAAACCAGCATCCTCTACTTGTTCGATGTATGTGACAAAATAATTTGATAGCATACAACTCTATGTGTGCATGCCTGCACGTATACTGTTAGAAGTCGATGTTCATTGCCCAAATAACGAGCATATGTGGATTATGAACTCCTGTTTCACTTTATTGTGTTTCTTCTTTTAATCAATTTGGATATAATTTGCTGATGCAAGTTAGAGAACCAAGGTGTGAGACATAATTTAGATTCTTGACTATCAATTAATAGAAGTTGGTTCTACACCATTTATATTGCATTCATGATTCATGTATCAATAAAGCATGATTTGGTGCAGTTTTCAGCCGTCATTGTGCTGCGTAGAAGTCTCATTGTTCAATTTTCATCCTCCCAGCATTTAGTTAGTCTTAGCAATGGTTCTTGTTGGTTCTTTGCAACTGTCCTATCATCTGGGACCGTGGAAAAACCATTTGCTCGAAGAAAATCTTAAGGT